AAGCTTATTGATTTCGTTCAATAATGAATGTTGTTGATAATGAACTATTTGAATCATTATGACTAATAGTTTCATTATTGATAATTTTCTTTCGTTTTCGTCGTTTTTTTAATTCTAAACATTGTTGTTCCAAAAGACTTAAGGATGACGAAGATGAACGTCTTATTGGTGTTATATGCTCGATAAATAAAAATTGTTACGATTTGTTTCTAAAAGCCAATTGATAGTTCGAACATGTTGATACTCAATATTTGATGATTTATTATTCTGCATAAATGAGAAATGAATTTTGAATAAATATTGAAATAGAATATGGCGCTTGAAAATTATTATTAATTTTTTACTTACATATTTGTGATGTTATATCTGAAAATTAACGATAGTAAGTGAAAAATCTTGAAATTGTGTTAATTAAGAACAAGCAATAAATACGATCAATGAAGAGAATATCCTTGAAAAGTCTAATAGTTGTTTTCTGATAATGAATTATTTAACAGAAATTTTCTTTTAACGTATCTTTTCTTGCTATCAAAATAATAAGGGAAATATTAAACTTTTAACTATTTTTACTGTTTTTAAATAAAAAGAAAATAAAGTTTTAATTTTAGTCAAACGTATTTTTCAAAGTTTTAAATAAAATTGATTGAAATTAAGGTTTAATTAATTGAATTATTTCTCGTTTTGTTGGAGCAGATAAAATTGATGTATTAGGAAATCTATTTCCTAAAAAGAGAGGTCCATTTTCCCAATTATCATCTCATACAATATTTGCAATATGTAGTCTTCCTGTCCCTTGTTCAATGTATCTCATAGAATCTTCAACAGTTCTCATATTGAGATCATCTTGATGATGTGTGTAAATTCGTAACTTAGATATAAATTTGTATATGCCTTATGAAATTTTTCTACAACATAGTAAATGTCAGCCATTTGACGCAATGCATCGGTAGTTCGACGTTGATACGTTGAATAATTTTGTATTAGATACTCGAGCCATGCTTGGAATACTCTGATATGTTTTATATTTGAATTTTTATCATATGATAATTCATTTAAACATTGTGTAATACTACATTCGTCGATAGGTTCAATTTCAAATAGAATATGGTGTGCTTCATTTCTAATCTGTACTATATTCTGTCTTAAATAATAACTAAAACGGCAATTACGTAGCATAATTTCAAAGTTATCGATAATAATTATAGAGCAATAGTCCAAACTTCTATTTAGAAAATGCGAAAAAGTGCTCACTGCTTCAGAATTGCCACTCTTGATGGTGTCTAATGAGATTCTGTCGAAAAAACATTAATATACCCAGACTTGGGCTTAAAATAGTAAGACACTATTATTAACTTCACTTTGTTCCAATGGGGAAAAGCTAACATTTTGAATGGTTTGTGTGCCAATGATTGTCGATGATTGCTTTCGGTTTTTCTCGCTAATTAAGTGTGAATTCGAGTTTTAATTTCGATAATATTTTGAGTTTTCATTATTAACCAGAGTGACAATCATGTTTTTCCTAGGAGAGGGCATTACCGTCACGTTATCAACTAACGTATATCAAGTAACGAAAAATTTGTGAGTTTAGTTTTCTTGTCAAGGAAAGTCTATTTGCCAAAAATAGCGATTCCATATACAGTTCAACCAAAAGTTATCGAGATTGAGGATTTCAAATCTATTGGTGGTTTTTCGAAATTTTATACTTGAGTTTTTTCGATCAAGAGAAGCCACTTTCTCGATTTTTTTCCTACTCTTGTAAGAATGAAACATCGTCTTGTTCGAAGCATTTAAGAGAAAACTCTTGCTAACCCATTGGTTCGCTCGGGTAACACGATGTTTTATCCATACAAGAGTAGGAAAAACCTCGAGTTTGTCTAACATAATCACTTAAACTTAATTTTAAATAAGTTAAGTGTTAAGCAGAAAAGTTTAAACTTAATATTCATGGTTAAGTGATTCGTTAACACTTAATATTAACAAATTAAGTGGTGTGTGTTGTTTGTTTTTCTGTTAATATTAATGCTTAAGACAATCTACTTAAGCAGAAAACTCTTGATTGTCAATGATTGCCTTGATTGGAATCAACTTTTCCCTTTGCTTTTTATGACAATTTATTAGTAATCAGTGGCAAAATGTCATTTCTAGTGAGAAGACGTCAAAACTCATTGATCTATACAGTTGAAAGCTGATTAGAATTGAATTCAACTTTTCAACTTTATGCTAAGTTGATTAATCAACTTAACTTCAAATCAACTTCAACGTGGCATCCCTACTGCTGACTAACAGTGAGAATCTCTTGTTGTAATTGAATAACCAACTTTTCTGTTTCTTGCAGGTCTTCATGTTTCGATTGCAATTTATTTCGTCGAATGGCCAAACCACGTCTTGCATAATCAATCGCAGTGTTCAAATCACCAAGAAGGCGATGTGCTTCGTCCATATTGTTGAGCACGTGAGCAATATCAGCATGTTCATCAGTTTCATAGAATTGTTGAAATTGTTCGTAGACCTGTTCATAAAGAGGTAATGCTTCGGCATATTGATTTTGTACGCTTCTCAAATTGGCCATAGAATTGTAAGTATTGGCTATGTATGGGTGCCAGCTACTGTATGATCGCTAATAGATAGCTAGTGCCCGAGTCATGTGTTCAAGTGCTTCGTCATATCGCTGTTGATTGCGTAGAACAATGCCAATCGTGAACAATATCCGATCCAAGTCGGTATGAGAGGCGGGCAATATGCGTTCGCGAATTTCTTGTACTTTGGTCAGTGTTTCCAGTGCGTTTTGCCATTGTGCTTGATTTATATAGACAAAAGCTATTTTCGTCTCATTTTCAGCCACACTTAGATGCTCATCCAAGCTGTCTGCTGCTCGTAAAGCCTCACCTGCTTGCCGATACAGTTCGAGTGCGGCTTCGTACTCTCCCAGCTGATCTTTAATTGCGCCCACATTGCCAAGGGAATTCTCCAATTCGTCATAACTTTTAAATTGAATGAAAATATCAATTGCTTGCTGAAACACAGTCAATGCTGCTTCCCATTGGCCAGCCATCATGATCAAGACAGCTTTGTTGTTGATTGATCCAGCCATATTATAGGTAAGTTCAGGCTCTTGCTGTTGAAGGACAAGTGCTTTATCAAACCATTGAAGCGCAAGGTGATAGTTGCTCTTCTTATACCATGCATCACCGAGATTGTTCATTGCTATGCCACGACCGATTCGTGACAGAACGGGTGAGTCATCTGAACGAGAATGAGAATAGTTAGTTTAGGGGTGTGGGTTTGGGTGTGGCTTGCTGTCTCCCCTAATTATCTACAGCCACAGCCACACCCACCCCACACCAACATTCACACCTACACCCACACCCTTTTTATTATCTAAATATTTGGCTGTAACTCACTGCTTTGTAAGTGTAGGATTAATGAATGTAATTTTGAATAAACAACGTGTACATGCCATCCACTAAATTCCTTGACTGTAAAGTCTGTCAAAATCTGACCGGTGGCTCGAAATTCTCGCATTTCTTGCGCCCAAGGGCGCCATTCAACTCCTATCGCTATTTTGCACGGTTTAGCTTTTTGTCTGTGTGTTTGTCCTTCCATCATGCTTGACGAAACACAAATACACAGATGCGTCTGTACATTTGTGTCTCTGTCACGCGTCTATGTGCTTGATTTCTGTCATGTGAAAATCCGACGGTCACTTGTCGGGAAACTATTCTTTCACAAATGACTCTGGAGTAAATTCGCTGGTACAATATCACCAATACATCGGCATGTGTCACTAGACGCGATGGGTGTGGATCTTCACTTCATCAACACCCACACTCACAAATGACTATTAACAGCTTCATTTTTAATAATAAAAAAAAATTCATTGAGAATAATACGTCAATCTTTCAACTTTATTTTTCTGAATTATCAATGAAATACTGGTTCAATATTAACAATGGTCGTAAAGGTATAAAAAGGAACAACATCACTTGCAGTATGATCGTCACTCACCAATTTAATAATAAGATATAAAAAGTGCATAATATTTTTTTGATTTTAAGCTAAAAAACTAATGTTAGTCTCGATCAATTTTCAAATAAGAGATTGTAGATTAATGCATGAACTTAAGAAAATAGAGAAACGAAATAAAATCAAAAATGATTCTACTAAAATTACTACATATCGGCTGTTAGTACAATCTTCTGTTAATTAATTGAATGTCTCGTTAGTTTTGTTTCTTCTCAACACAAACAAGTTGTTGATTTTATGATGAATCTAGTTATATTAGACTAGTATTGAATGGGGTGTGGATGTCAGTCTTCTCTTCATTCACACTCACACCAACATCCTAAATCCTGTTGCCTATTTTTATCATATAAATTAATTTATATACTGTTGTTATTAAGCATTCAATCCCTTAGATTTGCTAATATCATTAAATTATATTTTTTTCAAAAACAAAATTTTCAACATATATAAAGAGGAGCATGGACGATGGTATTGATTCGATATCCAATATGTATTTAAATATATAGCAAAATTTTTTGCTATGAAGCTTTTTTATTTATGCATAGATGAATATACGTAATATATTACTTTCGTCAAACGAAAAAGTAATTTGGTTTTTTCTATTATCTTTTGCTTCTCGATATTTTTTCAAGTATAAATATGTTGCGATGTTATTTCGTATGCCATATTCACTATGCACAAATCACTCAAGCAAATCATTTCATACACAACGTGTACAACTCGTGTAACAATGTCCTTGATAAAGCGTGTAGCGAAAAAATTTATACAAAAAAAGGAAAAAATCAAGCACATGAATAAAGAGGGTGTGGATGTTAGTTCCCTCTTTCCACACCCATACCCAGATTGAGATTGCTATCTATTACAATTCATAGGACGCGTTCTGGCTAAAGAATTTAATAAAAAGAAAACTATGTTTTTGTTAAAGATTCTAGCCTATATGATTAAATTTTGATAAGAAGAAAAGTATCTTTTGAAGTGAACGATAAGTAATTAATACCAGATTTTCTCTCTATTCATTTATTTATTTTTAATCATTTTATAGACAAAAAAATTGTTCACATATTGATTAAAATAAATTTACAACTGCATTACGAAATACACTTTCACTACTTAATATATAAATATAAAAGGGATATTATTAAACGATCAGTAAAATAGATGAAATGGTCAGTACTTAGATTATCACTCATGTAAAAAGAAGATTGGAAAAAATCTGATTTTAATCGAATTTTTTGTGATTAAAATAAATTAAATTTACAAAATATCAATTTTAATCGATGAAAATTTTTTCATTGATTATTTTACTCAATTTTAGTCAGATTATTCGATTTTTAATTCATTAAAATCGATTAAAGTTTTTAAACCGATTTTAATCAATTCTGATAGTTTTTCTTTTTAAATGAATAAGCACCAATTGATATCGAGTCTTGAGGCATGGAATTTATGTCAAAGGTCGATCTAGCATCATGTCTACTAATTTTTTCCAGGTAAGAAGTCCGAAAAGCGATCGAACATCAGAGTTTTCAACATAAAGCTCGAGAAAACGCATTTTATGGTCGCCACCATTAAAATTGATATTTATAAATTTAATTTATTTTAATCACTAGTTTGATTAAAAATCTGATTAAAATCAGAATTTTTCCAATCTTCTTTTTACATGAGTGATAACCTAAGTACTGACCATTTAATTTATTTTACTGACCGCTTAAATAGTAGCCTATGTAAAATGCAGGACAAAAGTTTACACCACTTTTAATATTTAAGCTTTTTTGCCCTAGAGAATTGGGTTTGAAAGAATAAAAACTACATTAATCGATAGAGAATTTTGTGCTCTATATTGTAGTAAAAAATTTGTCTTTCTTATTCCATCTTAACCTTCAAATTTGAATATTATTCGATAGAGGGTGTAAAATATTAAACAAAGTCAAAACTTTAAATTCAAGAATCATGTACTGACTGATAAGCAGCATTTGTTTTGTATGTGGAATAGATGCAAATTTTGAGTCAACTCCAAAAAGATCATTGTTACTATTCTTGGTTTACTACAACATGAGCATGAGTCGGAAAGATGCAATTATCAGAAGATATGCTATGACAACTGGGCTATATTTTGCTGAAAACTAAGATAACTTTTAAGCACATTTTATACAGTCAAAAATGTCCGAAATTATACGCTTTACACCGTTGATCTTAAAGATGCGTTTTAACCGCGTGTGCCTCTTCCATCATTTTAACGATGTGAAATCTGAAAAAAATGCGACCGAAAAAACGTGAAAATTCGGACATTTTTGAATGTGTAAAGTGTATTTAAAGACAAAACGCAAAACGGCCGTTCTAACGCATCAATTTCATTTTTCTGATTGTTTGGGTATGTGCCCAAATCGTGAGTAACGTAAAAATCGAATATCTCTCTCTAGGCAAGCCAACACTCACTAATATTTTAATCTTGTTAGTTTGGCGGTAAAAGTTTTTATTTGATTCGAGTATGTGCTATCTTTTTAACTGACACTACAAACACTTCTATTTTGAGTACTTTTTCGTAATGCATTGTCACGATTTTAAATATGAAAATTCGTTTTGCATTGTCAAACAAACCAGAATTAGTATGTCCTTATCAGTCTTTCTAACCGCATCATCATCAGTGAATATGCAAAATGATAAAAGTTTTACAAAGTCTATGCACCTATGTAGATTCTGTATGGTGTCAACAGATCTGTATGATATTACGATGTAAGCACACTACAAAGAATAATAAAACAGAAGAACAAGTTGTTCGTTACTTTTTATCTATATTAAAAACAACTTTTTGCTTTTTTGTTTTTTTATTATTTTATTTGCGTATTTATGGTGAATGTAATTACAATATTTTCACAATTTCAATTATATAATTCAGACAATGAAGAGATATTTTTCATGTATATCCATACAAATGGAACTAAACTGTGAAAAACCGATATGTGAAACAAGCCTGTGTTTCTTTTGTGTTTTTTTTATCCTTGAATCTGGTAAAATGAAGTTGAAATATTCTTTGTGTATTTTAGATGAAATTTTTCATTGCATTTTTACTCATATTTTTATCGTTCAATGATGGAAAAGCAATTCCATTAGATCCTACGATAGTTTCCACGAACATAGTGCTAGATCCTCCACCTGCTAATAATGTGACTATTAATGTAAGATGGACATTCATTGGTGGAATCAATATCACATATGTTGTAATGATTATTAACAATCTTAAATCATCACAATATGCTGCTATGGGTCTCGGACAAAATCAGTCTATGGTGATTATAGAAGAATAGCTTTTCTAACTATTGGAGCAGGAAGAACATTTTTATGACCTTTATTTTTCATTAGAAAGGAGAGATTAACTATAATCCTCTTCTTGAATATTGGTCTTTAATGAATAGAACAAATATAGAAACATACAATGTTCTCTCTGTTCCACACTTAACTCTTTAAAATTATTATATTTCCTCGAATGTGAAGTATATGCGTAGGAATAAAGTTTTCATTTCTAGGGTGAAGCTCATGTGTTTATGTGTA